GCAGCAGCCCGGTGCCTGGGTTTGGGTTGGGAGAGGGGCCTGTCCTCCAGCCACAGATCCACTGTGCCTGGGTTGGAGGAGAGGAACTGAGCAGGCAGCTGATAGGGAACGTGGGCGGGAAGGAGCCCTCCGTCAGGAGCAGAGCTGGAGGGAGACGTCCTGGTCCCAGGTCATGAAGAAGGGGACCATCTCGGGGAAGGGGTAGTTGAAGGTGAACAGGTGCTCGGCCGTGTGGCCGTTGTAGAAGGAGAGTCGCTGCAGGCTGAAGTCCAGCTGCACCTTGACCCTGCGCAGTGGGGCCGGCAGGTGAAGTTTCGTCTTGGGGGCGGAGAGCGCGTGGTACTCCCCTTCGCTCAGCTCCAGGCCCCAGAAGCCCTGCTCCGCCGAGATGTACACAGCGCCCGTCCTCTCCGCGGCCTTCTTGGCGGCTCCCACCCCCCAGCTTTTCCCGGCCCCCACCTCCACCTCCCATTCCAGCAGCCCCCTGGAGACGGCCGGGGCCCCCAGCACGCAGGGGCGGAAATCAAAGCGCTCGGCGTTGAAGGGGAAGTACTGGGGGCGGTCCCCCAGCTTGACGCTTTTCCGGTCTTGGGAGATGAGCAGCGTGGGGAAGGCCGTGTCGGGGTCCAGGGTCACCTCTGATGGGGAGAGAGAATCCGAGAGTCAGCGGGGAGTTCCGGGCACCATGGCCGGGGGGCGGCGCGGCCACGCTCGGGGCAGGGATCGGCCGGCCACTCACCTCTCTTCTGGGTCCCGAAAAAGCGGTCGCACATGTCCAAGGCCAGCTTCTCGTTCTCTGCCTCCTCGCTGTCTGGGAAAACTACAAGACACACGGGAGAAATGATGAGCAAGGGGAGAAAGGGACAGAGACAGGATGGTGGGAGTTCAGACTACACATTTCCAGGGTCAGGCCCACTGTAGACACAAGAACGGCCACACTGGGTCAGACTAATGGTCCGTCTAGCCCAGGATCCTGTCCTCCGACAGTGGCCAATGCCAGAGGGAATGAACAGAAAAGGGAATCATCACATAATCCCTCCTCTGTCACTCATTCCCAGCCTCTGGCAAACAGAGACTAAGTACACCAAGCTTGGCCTTCACAACAAAGGAGTTCCATACAGCGCACAGTCAATCTGTGGAACTCCTTGCCAGAGGAAGTTGCGAAGACCAGGACTTTAACAGGGTTCAGGAAAGAACTAGATAAATTCATGGAGGCTATTAGCCAAGATGGGTAGGAATGGTGTCAATAGCCTCTGTTTGTCAGAGGCTGGAAATAGGTGACAATCATCTCTTGATGCTTCCCTATTCTGTTCACTCCCTCTGGGGCGTATCCCGGAAAAACTCTGCCGCGTCCAGGGAACGCGTCTGCTTTTTCGGATCAGTTTCCGAAACCACGGGGCATGTTCTTTCGGAAGCCCCGTACTCCTCATTCGATGAGGAGGAAGGGCTGTTCCGAAAGAGGAGGATTTTTCCACACTTGGTCCCATGTAGATGGTCCAAATGTCGGAAAAGCCTCTTCCGAAAAAAGAATCGGAAAAAGGAACGCCGATTGCCATTCACAATTGGCGTATCTTTTTCCGAAAAAGAACTACAGTGTAGTCATAGCCTGGGGCATCTGGCATTGGCCACTGTCGGCAGACAGGACACGGGGCTAGACAGGCCTTTGGTCTGACCCGGTCTGGCTGTTCTTCTGCAGTGTGAAGAAAAACTTCCTTGTGTTTATTTTAAGCCTGCTCCCTATTCATTTCCTTTTTTTGGCCCCTAACCAAGATCTTTCCCATCAGGGTTGCTCTAGTGAGAGCAATCCCGTCTCAACAGAGGAAGGAATCAAACTCTGAACATTGCACATGTGAGCAATGAATGCCTACAGATAGAACTGGCAACAGAGCAGTTCCATGGGCTTATACCTTGAAGGGCTAAATATCAATATTTGTTTTGAAGCAATTTTTGTCCCCTTTTATGGGCTGAAATTTTCGCAGGGGCCGGAAAGGATGGATTTGAAGCAATGGTCCCTCTAAATTATTTCTGTTCATGTGCAGAATAAATTTTGTTGTGTGCACCAAGGCATGGGCAGATGTGCACCACCAGGAGAAACACACGCTTCCAGCTGTGGGCACTCTGTTAACCTGCTGGGCAGCATTTCAAACTCTTCTTGGCTACCGCCCATGTGCTCAGCTGCCAGGGAGCACTGGTTTTAAGCATTTCTTTCTATTTTAACCGACTGACATTTTCCCCGTGGTGTCCCATTGTGGGTTTTGAAGCTTTGCTTTTTGTTCTCTATTTATTGATTTACATTTTCAGGGTTGCGGGGAATCCTTCTATGGGGGAGGAGTCAGACGGGAGAAGGTTACACGCCTTGGGCGGTAGCGGCTGTTCTTGGAGACATGCCTCCCTCTGGGAGTTGCATTACTCACCCGCCGTCTCTCTACTTTGGAGTCAGAATTCATTGCTCCGCAGTAGAGAAGAAACCCAGGGGGTCGGGGCATGCACACGTCAAAAGAGACACCGACCAGACACCCCTAGCAAAATCTCCACTCGACAGCCAGGCCGCACCTGCACCGTAAGCAAAACTCTGTGGCAGAGATGTAACCGTAGCCACTCTGTGACTTAGGGCTTTCCAAAGCACCTTAGCAGGGAGGCCATGACCCAGATGGGGAAACTGAGGCAGGGAACCGTGAGGGGCCACGATTTCTCTGGCATCAACCAGCAGCAAAGCTGGGAATGGAACCCTCGTGTGCCGAGGGCCAATCCGGTGCGCTAGCCACCAGGCCGCCCTTGTTGGATTTAGGGAGGAAACTGAGGCACGCCAGGTGCTGACACCTCCTCCCATTTATGGACCAGCTCCAGCAAGGAATGAGTCAGACTGCAGGGGAGGGAGAAACAAGGGGGTATCCCCTGCATCTACTCACACTCCAGCCTGTCGTTTTTGACCCTTTGCGACAGATCCTTCCGGTTTATGCCGTCCAGGATCTTCTCCACCATCTCCAGAGCTTTGTGCTCCTGGTAAGCGTAGACCATGGCTCGAGCTATGTCCGTGGTGTCGGCTCTCTCCGTCTTGGAGCGGGGGATGCGCTTGTAGCCATCTTCCAGGGGGTAGGTCTCCAGGTGGAGCTTGAAAACCCGGAACTCGCGAGCTTCTAGCTCGTTCAAGTACTCCACGAGCTTGCAGCACACGC